ACGTTCGTGACTGCAGGGATTCATCTTCTTGGTTCTTTCGGTAAAGTCACGTAGAAGGGAAGTAATAAAATAATAAAAATAAAACATAATAAAATTATTCTCACGACGTTTCGGCCACAACGCAAGCAGCCGTCCTCAGGTGAAAACCAGGTCCGTCGAGGCGACAGAGTCTGAATGAAACAGCACACGAGCTTGGAGCATATATATTAGCTGGGCGCCTTGACAAAGGAATTTGCATATCAAGAGGAATTTAGCATATTTATGGGAAATGCAGGAATGTGATTAGTACTGCATATGCATGTGCATTATGCAGGATTAACAGTATCAAAGGGAGCTGCAGTTGCTGCTGCTGCTGCAGTTGCTGCTGCTGCTGCAGTTTCTGCTGCTGCTGCAGTTGCTGCTGCTGCAGTTGCTGCCTTATCCATTTTAATATAACACTATGTATTATTCTACCCACCCTAATGTGTATCACACTGCTATATATTTACTATACAATTACGACACCATACATTACTCTGCACACTGCACCATGCCAGTGAGTGGAACATTGTGGCCGAAACGTCGTGAGAATAACTTGCGTTGTGGCCGAAACGTCGTGAGAATAATTTTATTATGTTTTATTTTTATTATTTTATTACTTCCCTTCTACGTGACTTTACCGAAAGAACCAAGAAGAAGATTCCACTAGGTGGCGATAAATTATATTGTTGGATGAAACGTGCTTACGTATGATGACGTTAGCACGTATGATGACGTAAGCACGTTAGGGCGAGCCCTCCCGGAAGCCATAGAGAATGCATTGGAGCGCCCCCCTGTCGAAAAAAACATCTTTCAATGTAAGTCTATGGGGCCACTCGGGGCGATTCTCAGCCGGAGTGAAATCGCCCAAAAAGAGGCGGTACTCCACAGAACGTGACATGACGCTGATTGGACTATATCCAGAGGCACAGTGACGGCTAGCGTGACTCTGTGGTTCAATGACATTGGTGGTGCGTCGCCCAATCGCCCTAATGAAGAAACCGCCCCTGCCTCACTCCCTACTCTCTAGCTGTATGCACAGTCAATACACGTCGTGCACATATTTGATGTTGGCTGTATGTACAGACGACGTCAAGTCGAAGTGCCTCCCAGTTTAGTTTCTATTAGGGCTCATGGTGTATCTTGTAAGCTCCAACTATTATTCACTATTATCTCCATGACCTCTTGATCTCCCCGCTTTGAAAATTGCCCCATTGCCCAAAACGTTGCCAATTATATATTTGTTTTCTATTTAGGGCAGCGATATTGACGAATGTGTTGAGTTCTATATATACAGTATGTGTTTTCGTGACTATGCACCATGACCAATGCAGCGTCACAAAACGTGCGTTGAATTCCCCGTTGTCAAGGAGCAGAGTGGGGCGGTCACTCATTTCTGCTGACTGACCGGAGACCGTGGTGGAAATTGATCATTCTCAGGCCAGGGGGCCACCTGCTGTAAAGGAATGCCACTTTTGACTTCCCACGAAGTGGTACTCGTTTAGTCAACCCCAAGAGGGATGATGACCTGGATCGAACCCACGAGCGATTGCGAGCAAAGTGCTTCTGACCACAGTGGCAGCCACGGTCGGATGTGAATTGTGGAGCATTTGTGCGTTAATGTCTGCTCGATGCACACAACACCTTCACAGTTGCTCACGTTACAAATGTACACTTACAGTCATCTTTGGAATTAAGATTTCTCAAAGAAGTCCCGCCAGATTGTTATTGACATCCCTGTGCTGTTGTATTTTGTGCTAAGTGCTGTGAATCATGTACCTTCCACAACAAATTCCCCTCGTCAATCCACTGCTGGATGATAAAGGTCTCAAGCACGCCGTTGTCAGCCGTGGTAGAGGTTTGGGCGGTGACGCGGTTTAGGTCCAGCAGCCAACCTGGTTATTGCTGCGGTGCTGTAATAACCCTCAAAATAGCCGCCGTCTATTCACGGCAGACGTTCAACCTCCCCGTGAAGTAATTGGCAAAGATTATGTAATTGTGGGCCACATCAGATAATTAAATTGGGAATATACACGGCAAGCAGCGGCCCCCTACTTGCAACAAATCTGGCAGGACTCTCCCGAAAAAGTAATGGGACTCACTGAGGCTTTCCAGAGGTATGCAAGCGTAAATAAATAATTGCATGATATGACCACGCTGGTCAGTACAGATTGGCGAAGGGGCGGCCAGGACCGATGCAGACCACTCGCCACTGATGTTTAACCGTGGCTGAGAAGCAAATTCAGGTCACCAAGTTAATAGCATAGCTTGCTAACCACTGCTCCACCGCTCCACTCTACCAGCACATGAACAGTCTCTACATAAAATAACTACATAGGTAGGTGGCTCTGTTTCGTTGCTGAATGGAAATATTGTGCTGTAATATTTAACCAACTGGCTTTAGGGATTTCCAGATCAACGAGCTGTGTCCACACAGCACGTGCAGAATATTGTACTGCATACACCGTGGAGCCTAAACATGTCAGGTTACTTGATCAACTTGTTGTTCAGTCTTTTTGCATTAGAGGAAACTTGAGTTCATGAAGAAAGGCCAGGCATATGGAAAGGGTACTCAAAAGTCCACACACAAAGGTCAGAAACCTCTTTATAGTGGACAAGATAAAAAATCATATAATTTATATGATGTCAATATGGTCTGCTGACCCTGCAACTAAGTCGTGCGATCGTGAACCTGAACAACGAATGATTGATCGTATAATAATCATAAAATTATCTTGTTCCACTGCTGAAATAAATTAAGCCAGATGGTTATGGAATAATCTTGCCATTCTTTGGGTTTAAGTCCAAGAACTAAAAAAAATACTTTGATTGTTTTTAAATTAGCCAGGCTTATGAGAGAGGATGTGTAGTGACTGGTGGAATACTAGATGATGAATTATTTACTGCAGTGTGATGGCGCATGGAAAACAGGAATAAGGTAAGACGCCTCGGAGTGGTTATTTGATGAAATAACCGATACAAACGTGAATTTTGTTTAATTTTAAGAATGATAAAATTAAAATCACGTCAACCAATCAGATTTACAGACCAGTGTTTTTCGTATCATTTGTTAAAACAGTGACGCATTTACTGTTTTTAATCTCCTTTGGTCTAATCAGCAGAATGTGATCTCATTGAACAAATGGTACCGGGCTTCCGATGTTCGACGAGATGAGAGCCATCCAACACCATTGTGGTGGCCTTAAGTCATGTCCAGCAAAGTACTGTAATGATTTTCCAGCATCGTGGAAATTGCCTGAACTCCCTTGCTGCTTACTGTCAGTCTTGTATTGACGTGGTGTGCTGTATGTATATTGAACCTCTTTTGCACTATAAGTAGCCAACCATGCTAATCGGAGGTGCGGCGGAAGGACAACAAACTAAACAAAAACATAAGTTCAAAAGTAATGAGTTTAAATTCAGATTGTTTCAGAGTGCATAGCTCCAGTGGCTTCCTAATATTGGAAAAGCGTTCCAGATGGCCTCAGAAGCGCATCTGAAAAAACGCGGTGGTTAGCCAGAAGCTGCTGCGAGGATGACCGGACTTCGCGTGACGTTGGTTATGCTCCTTTACGAGATCCGCAAGGTATTGTGGTTGATTTGTGCTGTCAGTGAGGAGCGCCAGACTCAGTGGTGAATCTCAGGGTGGGGGGGCAATGCCCAACAGCACCCCCCACCGCTACCTCCTTGGGATCTGCCTCTGGCTTGGCTGTGCAATTCCACCAGCCACATGTAGACTTCCCAACCCACAGTGTTTTGAGGTGGACAGAAGGTGGCAGTAGAGGGAAAGAGGTTGACCACCTATCGCCACGGATGTTTTCAGTACCACTCGTCAACGTGTGTGTGTGTGAGCATACGGCGCCCATTGAGGAGTATCGCATCATTTGGCAAACAACCCAACGTTGGACCTTCCGTAGAAAGGGTCTTGAGACTCAGTGAAAATTCACTGACTAGAAAACTGCACGAAGCTACTGGGCAGCTGTAGGGACAGTACAGAGAGTAGGATGATACTGCTTTGTGTATATAGCCGAGTTTTAGTTCTCCTCTTGGGAGTTCTCCAGGGACTCCCAATTAGTTTTATATCACATGGAGAACAAATTAATAAAACGTCCTGAAACCCAAATAGGGACTGATTGAAGGGGGCCATGCAGGCTCAGTATGTGGAGTCGTTCTTCCTGCTAACGCGTTGGTGTTTTCCGGGGTTTTCGTGTCCTACTCTCACAGGCACGTATTCCTCGCACAAAGATAAAAAAAATTGTAACGCATGGCGCTAAGATCATCAGTAGCGCCTTAATAAAATAAAATGCGTTAAAGCAGTGCTTAATCTCAGTCGGAACAGTCCCGAATGCTGTTCTGGGAATTAATTTTATTGACTCGACACAATCCAACATCGAACATATATGAACCGATTTTGAATGATGATGATGAATTTCAGATCTAAATACATAGGGTACAATAGAATATGCCTATTATAGATAGGCGTACTTTGATCTCTGGTAATAATTCCTTATGCCGATAATCCTTACTCCAAGCCAGCCTAGAGGCGTTCTGAAAAATATCGAGAAACTGAACCATGCGTTTGTATTGCCTAGTGAACGCTGGTCCAACGTTTCCAAACACATGCCACCATTGGCCCAGCATTGTTGGCACGTTTACTGGGTCCCGGGTTTTTGTCACGTGTTTTTGTTTGATGGTGCACCGAGGAGATGGAGCGATGAAATAATTTTGCGAGGTGGATTGTTACATCGTAGGAGCGTGAGACGCGGCAGGCGGCGTGGGGTGGCCTTCATCCAGCAGTGGATTGATCATGGCTGATGAGCTGATGATGACTTTATATAACCGGAATGAATTCCACCTTTTGATGTTGAAGATGATTCAGATGATGACGTTGATGACAGCTGGACTGCGATCAGCTGATGGGGGGGTGGGTGGAGGGAGTACGATCACGTGGCCGCTCGGCTCATTATAAGGAGCGCAGCGAATGAAAGGGATAACGCAGAGGATGCCGCACACACACACACAGCCGTAGACACGTGTGCCCGCGTGTGTAGAGGTGTGTGTGGTATCGAGGTGTGTGTGTATATAAAATGAGAGGCGATGCAGGGCAGCGCAGACAGGGCGCGGATTAAGCATCGACCAGCACCGGGTGTCTGGTGAGTGATGCACCCCATCACCATCACCACCACCATCATCACCATCACCACCACCATCATCACCATCACCACCACCATCATCACCATCACCTCTGTTACAATGAGCGCAATGCCGCCGCCGCCACCACCAACAGCAAACCGACTACTTCGTGTGTTCTTCACACGGATTGCGGTGGTTTGTGCGCGATGGTTGTACATGCTGTGTCTGTAAGCACGTGTGTAGTACAATCGTCTGAACACAGTGATCATCGCTTGCACATGTGTCATACAGTGTGTGCAATGCACTGTGTGTATGCAATGCGTTGTGTAATAATAGTGTGTGGATACTGTGTATTACACTACCCCAGCGTGTGTACATGACGGACTGCAGCGATGTATTTGTGCACGCTATAAACGGTGTAGGTGTAACAGTGTAATAATAGTGTCCATTCACAGAGTGTATTGTGAGTGTGGATAGAGCATGTGTGTGTGTGTACACTGTTAACACGCAGTGTGTGTGTGTATACTTGTACACTGTGTAAGCGGTGTGTACACACAATGCCTGTGTGTGGCGGTACACTGCGATACACATCGTGTGCATTTGTGAAATAGAGGGTGTGTGTGTGGGGAACGGTGGCGCAGTGGTTAGCGCGCTGCGCTACGAACACGGCGACCCGAGTTCAATTCCCGCTCACGGCCGCCAGTGACGATTATCTGAACCGGTCCTGGGCCTCCACTAGGTCGACTCGGCCTCAAATGAGCACCTAGTGTGATATTTAAACATCGTCACTAGGGAGACAAAGGCGGCCGGGCGTAGTTCTGGCACTCCCACCGACCCCCTCGTGTGCCGTGCCGGCCTTCATAGGTGTTACTCGCCAACAGCACTTGCCCCAACAGTCTGTTCAGGCTACACGGGGGATCTTTGTCTTTGTTGTGTGCACGGTCGCCTTTTGTGTCGGGCTCTAATTGTTGTGATGCACGTGGCGTGGGTCGCGATGTCTGTGTGCATCCGTCTCTAGCGGAGAGTCCTAAACCATCACACGCGCTCACTGCGTACGATGTACACGTGTGTGTGCATAACATAGCATGCCATTGAAAGCGTAACACACGTGTGTTATACAATGGGTCTGGCTAGACGGTGCATCACACACTTGTGTCATACGTGGTGTGTGCATGGCGTGTAACAAACACTCTCTAGACGACACGTGTTGTGCACACACACCACCACCACCACACACCACTACCACACACCACTAGATACCACCACCACACACCACACACACTTGTGTCATACGTGGCGTGTAACAAACGCTCTAGACGGCACGTGTTGTGCCCGCAGTCTGTGGGTGTATCCGGGCACGTGTTGTGCAATCGCCTACTGCACGGGCACTGCACGCACAGCTCCGTGAGCCAGACTACGCCGCTGCACACACCACCATCATCACACACCACCATCATCACACACCACCATCACCACACCACCATCATCACACACCACACACCACCACACACCACCATCATCACACACCACCATCATCACACACCACCATCATCACACACCACCATCATCACACACCACCATCACCACACACCACCATCACCACACACCACCATCATCCCACACCACCATCATCACACACCACACACCATCACACACCACCATCATCACACACCACCACACACACACCACCACCATCATCACACACCACCATCATCACACACCACCATCATCACACACCACATCATCAACACCACACCACCATCATCACACACCACACCACCATCACCACACACCACACACCACCATCATCACACACCACCATCATCACACACCACCATCACCACACACCACCATCATCACACACCACACACCACCACACACCACCACACCACACCACCATCCACACACCACCATCATCACACACCCACAATCACCACACCACACCACCATACACCACCATCATCACACACCACCATCATCACCCCACCATCATACACCACCATCACACACACCACCTCCTACACACCACCATCATCACACACACCACACACCATCATCACCACACCACCATCATCACACACCACCATCACCACACACCACCATACACCACCATCATCACACACCACCATACACCACCATCATCACACACCACCATCACACACCACCATCATCACACACCACCATCATCACACACCACCATCATCACACACCATACATCACCACCACACCACCACCATCACCATACATCACCACCATCACCACACACCACCATCACCACACACCACCATCACACACTACACCACCATCACACACCATACATCACCATCATCACACACCACCAACACACACCACCCCACCATCATCACACACCACCATACACCACCATCAACACACACCACCATCACACACCACCACCCACCACCACACACCACCACAAACCACCACAACACCCCACACACCTTACTTCGTGTGTGCTTCACACGGATTTCGGTGGTTTGTGTGCCACCAACACCACACACACCACCATCACAACACACCACACCATCCACCACACACCACCACACACCACCACACCACCACCACTGTGTCGATATGTACGGTGTGCGGTGGGTAACGTTTGCGTGTGTATTTTCGAAGCACACGGTGTGGGGTTAACAGTGTGGCGATGGGTACCGTGTAACCATAAACACGCGACACAACACACTACGCAACACGCGCGTGTTACACAACAGTGCGTGTCATTTGGTGGCTGTGCGATAGAGACCGTGTCTATGTGGTGTGTGTGGTGTGTGTGTGTGACAGCGCTCAGTGTGTCTGTGGTGTGTGTGGTGTGTGTGTATCTGGTGTGTGTGGTGTGTGTGTATCTGTGGTGTGTGTGGTGTGTGTATCTGTGGTGTGTGTGGTGTGTGTGTATCTGTGGTGTGTGTGTATCTGTGGTGTGTGTGTATCTGTGGTGTGTGTGGTGTGTGTGTATCTGTGGTGTGTGTGGTGTGTGTGTATCTGTGGTGTGTGTGGTGTGTGTGTATCTGTGGTGTGTGTGGTGTGTGTGTATCTGTGGTGTGTGTGGTGTGTGTGTGTATCTGTGGTGTGTGTGGTGTGTGTGTATCTGTGGTGTGTGTGTATGTGTGGTGTGTGTGTATGTGTGGTGTGTGTGTATGTGTGGTGTGTGTATCTGTGGTGTGTGTGTGTGTATCTGTGGTGTATGTGGTGTGTGTGTATCTGTGGTGTGTGTGTATCTGTGTATCTGTGGTGTGTGTGTATCTGTGGTGTGTGTGTATCTGTGTATCTGTGGTGTGTGTGTATCTGTGTATCTGTGGTGTGTGTGTATCTGTGTGTGTGTGGTGTGTGTGTGTATCTGTGGTGTGTGTGTATCTGTGTATCTGTGGTGTGTGTGTATCTGTGTGTGTGTGGTGTGTGTGTGTATCTGTGGTGTGCGTGTGGTGTGTGTGTATCTGTGGTGTGCGTGTGTATCTGTGGTGTGTGTGTGGTGTGTGTGTATCTGTGGTGTGTGTGGTGTGTGTGTATCTGTGGTGTGTGTGTATCTGTGGTGTGTGTGTATCTGTGGTGTGTGTGTATCTGTGGTGTGTGTGTACCTGTGGTGTGTGTGTACCTGTGGTGTGTGTGTACCTGTGGTGTGTGTGTACCTGTGGTGTGTGTGGTGTGTGTACCTGTGGTGTGTGTCTGTGTGGTGTGTGTACGTGGTGTGTGTCTGTGTGGTGTGTGTACGTGGTGTGTGTCTGTGTGGTGTGTACGTGGTGTGTGTCTGTGTGGTGTGTGTACGTGGTGTGTGTCTGTGTGGTGTGTGTACGTGGTGTGTGTCTGTGTGGTGTGTGTACGTGGTGTGTGTCTGTGTGGTGTGTGTACGTGGTGTGTGTCTGTGTGGTGTGTGTACGTGGTGTGTGTCTGTGTGGTGTGTGTACGTGGTGTGTGTCTGTGTGGTGTGTGTACGTGGTGTGTGTCTGTGTGTATCTGGGGTGTGTGTGGTGTGGTGTGTGGTGTGTGTGTATCTGTGGTGTGTGTGGTGTGTGTATCTGTGGTGTGTGTGGTGTGTGTATCTGTGGTGTGTGTGGTGTGTGTATCTGTGGTGTGTGTGGTGTGTGTATCTGTGGTGTGTGTGGTGTGTGTATCTGTGGTGTATGTGGTGTGGTGTGTGTATCTGTGGTGTGTGTGGTGTGGTGTGTGTATCTGTGGTGTGGTGGTGTGGTGTGTGTATCTGTGGTGTGTGTGGTGTGGTGTGTGTATCTGTGGTGTGTGTGGTGTGGTGTGTGTATCTGTGGTGTGTGTGGTGTGGTGTGTGTATCTGTGGTGTGTGTGGTGTGGTGTGTGTATCTGTGGTGTGTGTGGTGTGGTGTGTGTATCTGTGGTGTGTGTGGTGTGTGTGTGGTGTGGTGTGTGTATCGGTGGTGTGTGTGGTGTGGTGTGTGTATCTGTGGTGCGTGTGGTGTGGTGTGTGTATCTGTGGTGTGTGTGGGGTGGTGTGTGTATCTGTGGTGTGTGTGGTGTGGTGTGTGTATCTGTGGTGTGTGTGGTGGTGTGTGTGTGTATCTGTGGTGTGTGTGGTGGTGTGTGTGTGTATCTGTGGTGTGTGTGGTGTGTGTGTGTATCTGTGGTGTGTGTGGTGTGTGTGTGTATCTGTGGTGTGTGTGGTGTGGTGTGTGTATCTGTGGTGTCTGTTGTGTGTATCTGTGGTGTGTCTGTGTGGTGTGGTGTCTGTTGTGTGTATCTGTGGTGTCTCTGTGTGTGGTGTGTGTGAATCTGTGGTATGTGTTGTGTGTATGGTGTGTGTGGTTGGTGTGTATGGTGTGTGTGTGTCTGTGTGTGGTGTGGTGTGTGCACGCTCTTCGCCGTTGCGGTTGTGCAATGTTTCGCGCTACGCCTCGAACGCGGCCCCCCGAGTTCAATTCCCGCTCACGGCCACCAACACCCAGTGACTGATCTGAACCGGTCTTGGGCCTCTCCCTAGGTCGACTCGGCCTCAAATGAGTTCCTGGGCAGACGAAGGCGTTCGGGTGTAGTGCTG